AGCGCAGGCGGGTGCACCATTCCATTATCTATACATCTCTACATATAAATAAAATTGGTGTGTTTGTTTATAATATTGAAATAACCGTTTTTTTACTACATGCATATGAATATAAATGCAGTACATACACCAAAATATAATTATTTACAAATTTTATCTGTCTGTTTGTTCCGGCTAATCTCTGAAATGGCTGGACCGATTTTGACGGGACTTTTTTTGGCAGGTAGCTGATGTAATAAGGAGTAACTTAGGCTACTATTATTTTTAAAAACCTTTTAATTTAGAAAAATAAAGTTAAATTCGACGCGGACGAAGTCGCGGGAACAGCTAGTCATAGAAAAAAAGAAAATAAATAATAAAGGTACAAAGGTATATTATATAAGTACCTATATTATAAAAAATTGTCAGTATAATGAAAACATCATTATACTGAAAAATTATTATAATTCTAATGTATTGCACATTACAAACGAGCTAAAGATAGAATTTTTAATTTAAAAAAAAAAACAAAGTCGTCACCTCTGTCTGTTCGCTTATATCTTTTAAATTATGCAACGGATATTAATGCAGTTTTCAGCAACAGATAGAGTGATTCAAGAGAAACGTTTATATGTATAATACATGCGTGTTATAGTATAGAATAAACCGAGAAATTCAAAGATTTGGAATCCATGCGAATACGCGACGGGTCACTAGTTATTTATAATTGAAAATAAATAATGTCTGTATTATTAAATTAATAAATAAAATGCACAATGTCTAAACATTTACGGAAAACCATAAAAGCTGTTACGTTATTGTGTTCGCGCTTGCGCAGGCGCATTCAGCTCTGAAGTGGATAGAGGTTGTAAACATACAATGTAATTAATGAACACATAATAGTTGTGGCGGTTAATAAAACTTAGCTGTGCTTACTTTATGGTGTGCTTTACTTGAATGGTGTCACGATAAACTTGATATTATGGGCGAATCGAGAGCTTCCTAACCATAGTTACAGTAAAGAGGCGATTGTTTTTCTAAATTGATTCGCTTTGATTGAGACTGAATCCAAGTGCATCATACCATTATGGTATGCACTTGGATTCAGTCTGCGCCACCACTTATTCTCTATTTTACCAGTCTATTATATAAAGAAACCTTCAAAAATATATAAAAATATTAACGTACGTAACGCACCGCTAGATCACCGACACCGTAAAGTTTGCCTTACTAAGTTTTTTTTTTATGGATGATAATGGAAGGATGCGCTAACGGTTTACGCTGACAGGGCACCGGTGGCGGATGATAAAATGAGCATGAAGTCAGGTTATTGAGCCCATCTCAGCCCAGCCCAGTTGGCAAATGGTAATTTACCACGATGGTTTCCAGGGTGAATCGTCGCCTCCGATCGATCTCCCGTCCAATCCCCTCCGATCGATCCCCCATCCTCATCTCAGACTAAAGTCGTATCCGTCAGGCGGGAGTTGGCCTTCAGCCGCTCCATAAGTCCTTCCGCGGGTTTGGAGTACTCGCCCCCTATCTTCTGGTGAAGCTGTAAAGGTCAGCTGCGGGCAACAGCAGTAGAGTAGTCCAAAAAAATAAAAAATAAAGGGGGAATCGAGTGGAGGTCAACATGACATTGTATGTATATTATTGCTAGCAATAGTCCATTAGTGCTAATAATTTATTGGCCATATATATCATATATCTAACTTATATTATAAACGTGAAAGTTTGTGAGTATAAATGAAATGAAATGAAATGAAATGAAATTTATTTGTTATAAAAGTAGTACATATTATACATCTAATTAAATGGATGGATGTTTTTACTCTTCAAAAACTACTGATCGGATTTTGATGAAATTTTACAGTAATATAGTTAACACAGCATAATAAAACATAGGCTATAATTTAAAAAGATATTTTGTAAATTAGGCGAAATATTTTATTTGTTTAACTTCAATTTACACAATACAAAAGCACAGTACATTTGGCGGATGTAATTCCAATGCAGAATTTCCTACCAGTCAACCAGGTGGTTCAGAGAGTAATTGAATAATGAGAAATGTCAAGTAAGTGTGATGCAGACGAAGTCACGCGGGTCAGCTAGTTACAAATAGAAATCACATCTTTACTTTTTATAAGATTCGTTTAGATGCATACAATAGGTGAAGCAATTTCCTGCCTGAAACCCGTGTAATTGGACCGCCTCCGTTCAGGTACATTGAAAGATTTATAACGATATAAGCGCGCGCGCAGCAAATGTTGTGAATAGAAACCATTTCCGTGATATGCAACAAGAAACAAGTTATTTACAGTTATTTAAAATTATAAATAGGTTAGGAAACGCCGGCACGTTGTACGTGTATGAATGACTTGATTGTGAATTTCTTGTTGTGTGTTTACAGTGCATTGCGAATGCATAGACAATTTTTTGGGAAGGTGCTTATGTATGTGTTAGTTTCCATATGTGGATACAATAACCATGTTTGTTAAGTAATTGCAATATTAATTAATTTTTTAGATAGCGTCTAAATAAAAAAGGTTAAAAAAATAATGTATAAATTTATATATGAACAAAACAGTTATTATGACGGCCTGGGTGGTCCAGCGGTTTATTTAGCATTCAGTAAGACTATTTACAAATAATATTAAAGACAAACAAAATTACTCTATTCTCATTTTGACCACAGACAATAAACTAAAGTGTATAAATGGGTAGTGTGACAAATGCTTTTTTATCAAATATTTATACATAACTTTAAAAAACCACACCACGAAACACTCCTACTCTATATATACTATAAGTGTGGGAAATTTCATATTTTTCCTTCACGTATTTATATATTGATTCTAAATATTTAGTAATCTATATATATATATATTACTCAACTGACTGACATAGTGACTGGTAACTGACTGACATAGTGATCTATCAACGCACAGCCTTAATTTGGCATGCAGGTAGACCTAGGCATATAGGAGGTTATGACCTAGGCATCCGCTAAGAAAGGATTTTGATTAATTCTACCCCCAAGGAGATAAAATAGGGGATGAATGTTTGTATGAAACTTTGTCAATTTTAAACTGACCGGGCTGAGCCTTTGCATGCATAAAGCTACTATGACGTAGGCATCCTCTAAGAAAGGATTTTGATAAATTCCACCCCTAATAAATTAACGCGAGCGAAGCCGCAAGTAAAAGCTAGTATACTATAAGTGTGGGAAATTTCATATTCCTCCGTCCGCGTAATTTTCGTACGATATTTTCCTTCACGTATTTATATATAGATTCCAAATATTTAGTAATTGGTTTTATAAATGAGTGTGCATCAGTACAATGGTTGTCAATTAATATTTTCTTTATTTTTAGCAACCAGCTCTAGTACTTGCTCTCGTGTGTAAACGCATAACTTCAATATTGCGCAAATCATAAAGCGGAGACACAAAACAGATGTAGTGATCTGCAATGTTCACTTCATCTCTGTCACGAATAAATTAATCTAATAAGTTACTAGTCAGTATTTTGTAACAGTTGCATGTTGTACCAGTGACAACGATGATGCAACGGTGGGCGGAACTTGTTTTGGTTTTAGTACAATTATTTAATAATAATCAAAATCAAAATCAAAAGTCAATTATTAATGTAGGACATTTTAGCCGCTTATAAACGGCAAGTTTTTTGTATTAATATTTTTCCCTACCGTCCACGTAAGTATACAGATTCCGATTGAGAAGAACTGTCAAGAAACTCTAACTGAATTTTCTTTTATTTTTAAAGCCTGTTCATTTACATTGTATAATTATACATCTAATTAAATGAAAATCCCGTGTATGAACAACTATTGCCACGCACGTTGGCTATTTAAGTAATCATTTAGTGAGAGGCTTTGCTCAATAAATATGATTTAAATTTATTTAAAGGTTTATTAACTTCCACACCCCACAGATCGCTATCTACTCCCAAACTAAGCAGAGTTTGTGTAATGAGTACTGGACTGCTGATATAAATACTTAGATACTTTTTTGTTAATATATATATAATATACATAGAAAACTTTCAGACAGATACAAGCAATCATACTCATGAACTTGTGTCCATGTACCTACGTCACACTTGTGTCATGCACGTTTTTACGTTAGGCCCGTGCGAGGTATTGAGCCTGAGATCATCGGAAGTAAAGGGGTGTAAACCACGAGATCACCAATTCCGTTTGAATGATAACTAATATTTTAACAATACGTACTCGTCACAGCTTGTGGTTAGATTAGGTGTTTTTGGAAATGGTTATTTTTGTAATATATAACCTGAAACAGTTTACTAATAGTCTGCACCGTTGGTAAATAACTTGTTCTAAGAACTAAACTGCACTAACATTAATAACTGTTTTTGAAGGTTTATTTAGTAAGTACCTAAGTAAGCAAGTAGCTGCCAATATTATAGAAATAGAAATCTCTACCACTCATTCAGAATGCGGACTCATTACAAGAAGAACGAGCAAGAAATTTGTGTTACTCTTTTGAATAAATGTTATCTATACATATAAATAAAATTGCAGTGTCTGTTTGTAATATTTAAATAACCGTTTTTTACTACATGCATATGAATATAAATACGGTATATACACCAAAATATCATTTTTTATAATTTTGTCAGTCTGTCTGATTGTTCCGACTAATCTCTGCAATGGCTGGACCGATTTTGACGGGACATTTTTTGATTGATGTAATAAGGCAATTTAGGCTACTTATATTGTAGAAAAATAAAGTTAAATTCCACGCTGACGATGTCACGGGAACAGCTAGTTTTAAATAAATACACAGTAAGAGGCCTACGATAATCAACATAGAAACCGCTACGCAGTCTTTCTTTGTGCAATCAGATAATATTCTAAATAACAAAGTATGACTGCTTGATGAATAAACAAAACGTGGTAAGATCCCGTAATTTTCCTATTCTGAGTTATCTCACAAATATATACAAGTGATCAATTATGATGTTTTAAGATGGTGAACTTACCTAGTAGTAGTATAGGCAGATCAAGCAATAGATGCCACCAGATGCTGTGTCGCGCCTGCATCTCTACAGGCGTAGGGGAGCGAGGTTCAGAAACCGTCTGTAACAAAATATGGTAATATTAAAAACTTAGTCTTTATTGTGCACTGATGAAATAAGTTCGTACGTGCATTGCCCAGTTAACTCCCACTCATCAAGCTATTTCGCTGCTAAATACGAGTGACATTACAGGGTACCCAGATATACCATTTGATGTTCGTAATACTACACATGTACATGTACAGGCGACGGTTATCGTTTTCTACCACGTGCATTATCCTTCCTATTACTAAATATAATATAATTTTTTTAGGGATAAATATTTGCTGTGAAATTAATCTTAGTTGCTTTATCATAGAGCCAGGGCTCACCTGGTGGTAAGTGATTACCACCGACCATGAGCTGTACTTACAGAAATGAATATAGATTCATAAAGACTAAGAGAGAGAGAATATCATGTACAAACGAACGATAGCTTTATAGCAAACGCATGTAGTGCAGTACCCACTGCTTAAAATAAAACATAAACTGTCATTACCATTTGTTGCAGTGTAAATCGTAAACCCATTTCATGATGAAATAGTTTGCGGAACATCACTAACATGAGTCGTTAAATGTTTAACTGTAGTTATAACTGTACCAGTTACAGATTATTACATATGAGTCTAATAGTGTTAGGCATGTGCTTGAAAATGGTGCCACATATTTTCGCTAAAAATACCACAAAGTTGTTTACTTAATAATAACCGTGGCCCATCGATAAAGACAATCATCCTGCACGAAGGAAGACTTCAACAAGGCGACTGACTGGGCCATAGAAAACGCTAGGTTCTGATCTATTTAGGTTACCCAATCGTCCTGCGCGAAACAAGACAAAACAACCTTAACACGGCGACTGATTGTGCCGTAGAAGATGCTAGGTTTAGGTCTATTTAGGTTGCCCAATCATCCTGCACGACAGAAGACCTTAACAAGGCGACTGACTGGGGCATAGAAATCGCTAGGTTCTGGTCTATTTAGGTTTGCCCAATCACCCTGCGCGAAAGAAGACCTTAACAATACGACTGATTATGCCGCAAAATTCTGTTCTAATAATATTTAGGTTGCCATTGATACGAAAAAAGAAGAAGACGTCTTAGGTCTTTTCATTTAATTTCTTCTAATAAGTAATCACCATCGACCACGAGCATCTGCAATTGTCAGCTTTTGGTTTTTTCCAGATTTTATACAAAACTGCTTACATGGATACCTCTTGCAATGTTTCAGCCACCAAGCAGTTTAATTTTTAAAATGCGTTTCGTTTCGGTTGAATGATTGACATTAGGTGATTAAATTACAGTGTACGGAGGCATGACATCATAGTCCTCTGAAATGGTAATCCACGAGAGGTATCATGGGTGTCAGATGTAGTGTTGTTCATGTATATAGATGACGGTTACCACTTGGCAGCAGGTGGATTGCCAACTTTATTTACTGTTTTAATTAGGTACATTTTTGCACAGTACAGTACAGATTTGATACAGAAAAGAATATAATCTGATTCGGATAATCCGGCTTCATCCAAGAATTGTTGATCGAATTAATGATTCATAGCTACTGTCACGTTGTCACATACGCTTTAAAATACATCCTCATAGCTTTGTTTTTATCTCATTATTTGGGGTCGGCGCAGTATGTCCTCTTCTTCCACTGATCCCTCAGATCGGCGGTAATATCTCAGCTTACTCATCTTCTATACATATCTTTCACACAATTCATCCATCTATTTTTCGGTCGTTCTCTCTTATTCCATCCTACCTACCTTCTCCATCCTACTACCTACGTTCATGTTAAATACTTTCTTTAACACATGATTCTCGCTTATCCTACATTCTAAATATTTAGGTCGGTCTCAACCATCCATGGTAAGTACTAAGTATAGGTTACTTTCTATGCACTTAGCGTAGTCTAAACATTAACATAAGCACGCGGTGTTACCTATATTTGCAACGCATTGTTAAGTATTGCTGACTTGACCACGCAGCAGTCCCCTATAAAATATTCTCGTACGTCAAAAACCTTACCAATCAGACAAACAGACAAAGACAAACCAGGCCTGTGGTAAACCTTGGTTATGTAAAGCTAAAGTATATATGGTTATGAGGAGTCATTTTCCGAGTTACCAGAGTACGTTTTAGCACAGATATTAAATATAATAAAAATATTTATTGTCAGCCCTATTTTTTAACTTATGTAAAAACAACCAACCCTAGAAAGTAATGCAGTTAAATGTTCTAGTAATTAGTACCTACTAAATTATTTTTAAAACAGAAGTGATTAATAAAAGCGTAAGTACGTATAATATGTGCTAATGGTCTATGGTCTCATAGAGGTTATTGGCATAGACCAGTGAACTCTATTGTTAGCCAAAATGGCAACGAATAAATGTATCACATAAATCATACATGCGATAATGTACCGTAATCAGAAATGAATAAAAATTATAAAAAGCAAATTGTCGTTGAGCATCATTATAGTATTTATAACGTTTATGGTAATACCATAAGTAACAATTTTAGAAAGCGTCAAACATATATATGTATATATATCTGTATATTTTTAATAAAAAAAATTAATATACCGTCCATACTACTTCTATTTTAATGGATGATAATGGAATATTCCACTCGCCTGCGCTAAAGGTTTATATTGTGCTGGTGGACCAACAGTGGAAGATGACTTGACGAGCATGAGGACAGGTTAGACCATTGTGACAACTTCATCAGGAATTTAACATAATGGTTTCCAGGGAGAACCGCGATATCAATTTTTTTATGAATGATAATGGAATGCTGCCCCGTCCTGAGCTAACGGTTTACACAGGCGGGGCACCAGTTCAGGATGACAAGATGAACATCAGTTTAGGTCAGTTAGCCCATCATGGCACATTCCAGGAATTTAACAAATCGTTTCCAGGGAGGAACCGCGTGGAAGTCAAACTTGACATAGTATGTTGCTAGCATTGGAGTTATTAATCCACATCACTAACCCCCCCCCCCCCCCTATCTATATTGTAATCCTAGATGGTGTAGATTGTCACTTGTCAATGTCGTGGTGAACACAACATTTGACATGCCCACATTTCGCTGGGTATACTTTGAATCCAACAGGGAAAGAGATGAAGGTGACAGCCTTCTGCCCTTTTCTCGGATTATTGCGTACTAATCGGTATTTCCTTTCGGGGGACTTAAGAATTGGCACGGAAAGTTATGTTTGGTGTCGGCCAAATTTGAACGCTGTTTTCGGTGTGAATCAGTGTAATAGACCACTGGGCTACGACATTTTCTAATATGTCTAACATTATATTGAAAATCACATACATGAATAAGTAACGCCATACACGTGCCTTTGTAAATATATACATACGCTTAAATGCCAAAGTTGGTACAACAGTATTTTAATTAATGCCGGCACGGCTTATTTTTCGCGCTAAAAATCACAGTTACTATTAGCTATGGTCATTATTTTCCTGCGACTTCATTAGGAAATTATGGCATGACCAAATAAGTCTCGTGTTATTGGCATACAACATAAGACCTTATTACAATCGCCTGCGATTCGAAAATGCATTACAGATACATCATATCTGTAATGTGTACAGAAACCTCTATTTTAGTAGAATGTTTACAAAATATCATGTCCAAATTAAGAAAAGAATTTTTACCTCTAAACTGTAATATTTCTAGCTAAGGTAAGATACTAGGCTAACTGCTGGCGTCGAAGAAATATAGAATCCTTTCAATTAGATTTTCTGGCACGGTATAAAAGCTACATTAAGTAGAGGTAAGATAAATTAATTGACGGCTTCCCGAAGCCGAAGCTAAAGCACTAGACCCCCGGGTCTAGTGGTTTAGCACATAGTTTTACTTCCGATGGTCGTGGGTTCGATTCCTCGCACGGTGCAAACATTTGCATTCATGAGTGTTATTGTTTCTATCGGTCTGTATGATTTCTATGTATATTATATTATATACATATTTACAAAAAAATCTAAGTATTTATATCAGTTGTCTAGTACCTAAACACAAGCTCTGCTTACCGTGGGTCTGTGTTAATTGTCCAGGGTTATAATTATTGTATTATGCCTACAACATACATCCAGTACATAGCTACACATTTCAGAAAATCTGTCAAGAAGCTGAGCTGGTATCAGAGACCTGGTAGTCTGGTTAAAAAGATCCCAGAGGCGTCCACATACACCCTCTTCGGAAGGTGCAGATTATCTGAAATGATGATGAAAATTCCAAAAACAAGTTGAGAAAGTTGTATGGCAATGTGATGGGTTATAATAGGAACCAGTACCTATTAATAGTATTTTTTATGCATTTGTATCTACTAACGCGAAGGCGCTTGTCGGTAAATAAGTATTCAACAAAATGGTCAACAAGAGTCTATGCACACTAGCAACTTTTAGTGTCGGCGATTGTTATGTTTGCAGCTGCATCGCGTTTTAGCGATTCTATTGCTACTTATAGTTACTTCAGTGATTTTATATGCTGTTAGTGATTTCGCAAGAACTTGAGTAATTTTTCTCAAGTACTGTTTGAGTATATTCATTAGAAACAAAGACAATTTAATCTTTGCTTGGTAAAGAATAGCATCCAATAGCTGGATAACTAATAATAGCACTTTATTGTGTTTAGAAAACATGTACAAAAACAACTATATGTATCTTTAAAAGTGCTATACCAAATTCGGTGTTATCACTTCAATCTCTAATCGACTTGGCGATTCTTTGTAGCGTACAACTGTTTTATTGGGGTGAACGGAATTGTTAGTAATGGGAACTAGTAACTCTCATTGCTAGCAATGTACCATGTTAGGTCGACCTCCACGCGGTTCCTTCTGGAAACCATCGTGATAAAATCCTAGTGAATTTGTCACGATGGGCTAACTGACCTGACCTCATGTTCATCTTATCATCCTTCAGTGGTGCCCCGCCAGAGTAAACGGTTAGAGCAGGCGGGTGCACCGTTCCATTATCATCCATAAAAAAAACTGTTTCAATGGGCAACTAAAGTA